ACATTACCCTCGTGAATAAAAGACTAACATTTCATAATATATATATATATATATATACATAAAAATAGAAGACTTATCCACATCTCACCTTAAAGGACTAATGACATTAGATTTATCCACACCTCACCCTAAAGGACTAATGACATTAACCATTGTTGAGATGCACTCCCCTTCCCCTGTTCGGGTCTTGAATCCACCCTTCCTAAAGGACTAATGACATTAGACTTATTCACAACTCACCTTAAAGGACTAATGACATTAACCATTTGTCAGATGCACTCCCCCCTCCCCTGTTCGGGTCTTGAATCCACTCTTAGTTAAAATATTTAAAAAAAAAAAATAATAGAAGACTTATCCACTTTGTGCGAGACTTATCCACATCTCACCCTAAAGGACTAATGACATTAGATTTATCCACACCTCATCCTAAAGGACTAATGACATTAACCATTGGTGAGATGCACTCCCCCTCCCCTGTTCGGGTCTTGAATCCACCCCTTCTTAAAGGACTAATGACATTAGACTTATTCACACCTCACCCTAAAGGACTAATGACATTAACCATTTGTCAGATGCACTCCCCCTCCCCTGTTTGGGTCTTGAATCCACCCCTTCCTAAAGGACTAATGACATTAGACTTATTCATACCTCACCCTAAAGGGCTAATGACATTAACCATTTGTCAGATGCACTCTCCCTTCCCCTGTTCGGGTCTTGAATCCACCCTTGGTCAAAATATTTAAAAATTAAAAAAAAAATAGAAGACTTATCCACTTTGTGCGTATATTCCTTTTCATTTTAAAATTCTCAATAATTAGGAGTAGTTGACTGGAGAGTGCAGTTTATTGGAAGGGAGAAGCAGGAAGAAAATGAGGGAGGAAGAATATATTGAGTACACTTGAGAAAGAAGTTCTAATCTCATGGCTGTCTATACTCTAATTATTTCTTTTGTTCTCCTCCTCCCTGTTCTTCAGCTTCTCTTGAAAAAGAAATTCAAAAATAGGAGAAGGCAGAAGCAACTTCCTCCAGGCCCTCCTGCTCCTCCAATTATAGGAAACTTGCACCAGATTGGTGCAATACCACACAACTCATTTTGCCAACTCTCCAAGAAATATGGTCCCGTCTTGCTTCTCCATCTTGGCCGCATACCTGTTGTCTTAGTTTCATCAGCTGAGGCTGCAAGAGATGTCTTAAAAGTCCATGATCTTGCCTGCTGTAACAGACCCCAGTTTGTTGGTAGCAGGAAGCTAACATATAATTTTCAAGACATTGCCTTTTCACCCTATAGTGAGAACTGGAGACAAAAGAGGAAGATAACTACACTTGAGCTGTTCAGTACAAAGCGGGTCCAGTCATTTCGGTTCATTAGAGAAGAAGAGGTTGCTTCTTTGATGCACTTGATCACCCAATGTGCAGTGTCCACAACTGCAGTGGACCTTGGGGAGAAGATATTTGCCCTCACCGGAAGTATACTGTTCAGAATGTCCTTTGGAACAAGTTTGCAGGGCAGTACTATAGATCTCAAGAAGTTGATTCACGGAGTTGTAACTGTTTTGGGAGGCTTCACAGCAAATGAACACTTCCCTTATGTGGGTTGGATCCTCGACCCGATTACCGGTGTTAATGTAAAAGTCGAAAAAGTTTTCAAGAAATTAGATCCTGTATTAGAACAAGTGGTAAATGACCATCTTAAACCTGGGAGGACAGAAAAACATCAAGACATTATTGATGTTTTATTGGCAACGCAAAGAGAAGAAACTGATCAAGATGGAGATCTTCAGCAAATGAAAAATGGTATCAAAGCAGTACTTTTGGTAAGTTTTCATGACGGTTTCTATTTGGGAAAATAATTATTACATATTCAATTCAATACTTTTTTTTATATTTATTTTTATTTATTTATTAAAATATAATATAAATATAATTAATTCAATTAGTTTTTATATCTGTATGAATTATTATATTTTTAAATTTGTTTATCCTTACACTTTATTTGAATTAGAAAAGCTAAAGAGAAGGAAAAAAAGAGTGAAGGAAGAGAGCGCTTTTGGTTGTTTAAATTAATAATTTTAATGAAAGAAAAGATAAAAAGAGATGAAACCCTTCTCATTCTTTGTTTTTAATCTCTTCGATTTGGAGAGATTGGAGCTGATTATATTGTCTGACTTATTTTAGTTTTTAATTTTTTTTTAATAAATATATATAAACATTTTATTTCAACTATTTATGTAATTAATAAATTTTAAAAATTTTATTATTTTATTTTTTTTTAAATTATTTAATTAAATAAAAATAATATTGTTTTCTTTCCTTCACTTTTATCTGTTTAAATAAAATTACTATTAACATTTTTCTTCTCTTTCGCTTCTCCTCTTCTCTTTTCCATTCCCCTCCCTTTTCTTTTTTTTACCAATTTTTATTCAAACAAATACTTGATTTTATTAAAGTATATTATACAATATATTAAATCTTCTTAATTTTACTAGCTCTTGAATCCGATGTCCTTGTAAACAGAACATCTTTTTGGGCGGAATAGACACGACTGCAATTACTGTGCTTTGGGCCATGGCAGAGTTGGTAAGGAAACCGAGGCTAATGAGGAAAGCACAAATTGAAATTAGAAACTATGTGGGAAATAAAGGAAGGGTAACTGAAGATGACCTCGACCAGCTTCAATACCTAAAGATAGTTGTAAAGGAAACTCTGAGATTGCACCCTCCTGTTCCACTACTAGTTCCAAGAGAGACCATGTCCCCTTGCAAAATCGGCGGCTACGACATTAGTCCAAAAACAGTAATCCAAATTAATGCCTGGGCAATTGCAAGGGATCCCAAGTACTGGACGAATCCAGAAGAATTCTCCCCAGAAAGGTTTGCTGATAGTTCTGTTGATTTTAAAGGGCAGAATTTTGAGTTCTTGCCATTTGGATCCGGTAGAAGGGTTTGTCCTGGCATTCTTTTGGGAATAATTACAGCAGAGCTTTTACTCGCAAATCTACTCTACTGTTTTGATTGGAAAATACCAGATGGGATGAAGGAGGAAGATATCAACATGGAGGAAGAGGTTGGCGCTAGTCTTACTGTGGGTAAGAAGACACCACTTCTCCTTGTGCCAGTAAATTATCTTCAGTAGACATCAGAAAAAACATGATGTGAGAAGCATTTCTGTAAATCTGCAAATTACAATAAATATAGCTTCCACGAACAATATAATATGATGGAGTATGATAAGCTTCCATAATGTAATATAATAGATAATCAATAATAATCTGTTTCTTTTATCTGGATTTCTTTTCCAACATGCAGTTTTGCTGTTGGTTCAAAGGTACCTGCGGGTGAGTGCCCTTAGCACTGCCCTTGGTATTTCATCAAAGGGCCCATATGCCTATACATCTCATAAGAAATTAGCAACAAACACGTCTGGTTGTGGTTTGAGTACCATAGAAAATGTAAGGTCACCTATTTTTTAGTATTTTTTTAAAATAGTGTTTGAAAATATTAGTTTGTTGGTTGATTTTAATTTATTAATTAATAATTATTAATTATTAATTATAATTATTTTTATTATTGAATTAAATTAAATCACTATTTTTAAAGACAATAATTTACAAATTTTTTTGGTGGCCTTAATATTTTTCATCGGTTGCCATAACC